AAAAAAAAAAAAAAAAAAAAAAAAAAAAAAAAAAAAAAAAAAAAAAAAAAGAAAAGAAGAAAAAAAAAAAGAAAATCTAGTTGAATCTAGTTGACTTTTGGGGAGGTTTTCAAGATCTAAGTTTGCAGTTGGTGAGTTGCAGCTCTCATTTCACTGCCAAAGCAGCCTGCCTTATTATGCCAGCATAATGGGCCTGTCATAATCAGWTGCATATAATGGGCTAATGCTTTTATTCTCAGCCATATTATTCTTTTGATAGAAAATAATGAATAATGTAAAGGCACACAGTTGTATTTGGATGAAACTATTGCATAGTTTGCCTATGGCTACACAGGGAAAATTTGAGTTCCTAAAGCGTTYGCCAATGTTCGCATTTAAGAAAAGAACGGGAACAAGATTTAGACCAAGCAGAACAAGGCTACCTACCTATAGCAAATAGATTTTTGAGTCTATTAGGTAAAMATCTATTAGGTAAAACTTTATCTAGGTATGTATAGAGTGTGCTTGTTAAAATGGTTTGTGTACTTTACAGGACAGCTTGGCTTTCCTGTCTGCATACAGCCTAAATGCTAGACAGCTGCAAGGAATATTACATAAGGACATCTCTAGGCCTTTACTTGTCCACACTTTTTTTTTAATATCGAAGTAAAATTAAAGAAATRTTTACCAACATATTAGAATTCTGCTGGCTGGTGTCCTGGAAGTTCATTGAAGTCAGAGCAGTGTTTTGACTTTAAATTGTATATAAAGAGTCGTAGAGTTGGGTTGGGAGAAGAAAACTTAAGAATTAGTCAAACTATTTTTTAATTTTATGCTTAAATTCTTTGAAATAATAAATTTTAAAAAAAAATTAAAATAAGTTGACTAAGGAGCTTTTTTTTTTTATCTCAGGCATATAATTTTGATACAAACATTTGGTTGATTGGCTTGTTAGTTTGAATGGAAGCTAACTTTGCCTACACACAAGTGCAGCTGCGATGCAAAGTTACTTGTTTGCTGTGACAAAGGTGTTTAAATCCACCCCCTGTATGTAGATATGATTCTTTTTCCCCCACCTTGCCCTTGCAATGCTTGAATAGATGACTCCCCTGCATTTCATTTTTRTGAGAGTACTCTTTAGGAAAGTGACCCCTTTAAAGCATTTGTGGAGATAGTGGCCCTTGTGAATGCCTTTCCTATTTGGGTCAGGCCATGCCATTTCCCCTGAGGCTGTCAAAACTGTTTCTTGGTTTCTCTGAAAGGGATCAATCTGAAAAGTTAAGCAGCCATGTTTACATCTTTTTSTCTTTGCAATCAGGCTTGCTGTGTTCTTAGTTGATCGTAATAAAAGCTTTTTTGTCCTTTTATTCTTTTTATTTTGTTGGTTATTGAACACACATTCCTTAAGGAAAAYGTTGCTTTAAATAACTTTCTGTATATCCTAAAACTGGAAATATGCATTGTAAAATCAAAGAGGTAAATTTTTAGGGCTGATGCCTGTTTATTTATGATGGTGATCCAGACAAGGACTTGGACAAGCATTCAGGAGAATAACCAGTCATTGATTATTCTTCAGTAATTGGACCTGTGCTTGGCAGAAGAGGTTCAGAGTGAGCGTGAAGGTTCTCTGTGGAGAATGCCCCTAACTCCATGTGTAAGTGATCCGCCTCTGCGCAGAGACCTCGGGCACTTAGGCAGGGGAAGCTTGATGCTGATAATACAAAGCTTTTTTGCTATCCTCAGTGGTATTTTTGTGTTCCTTTCTTTATCAGATGCCCTTAGGAAAGGATCAGTCCTAATCAATATTTTTTCTCAATTGGTTCAAACAGGCAGAAAAATCAATGAGCTGAACTAATGACATCTATTTTTATTTTCTTTGGGAAGACTGAGGAACAATTATAAAATTCTAAACAGATGTTTCATTTGATTGGGCCAATGGTAGAAGAGGGTTGTGGTTTTGTGTTGTTTTGATTTTTTAATCCTTTTTKTATAAATAAAAAAATTCTTACCCAAACACAGTATACATCAGAAAACTTCTTCAGAGTGTGTTGCACAGCTTGAGATTTAATGTGTATTTACTATAGTGCTTATACACTATGTTATTGGAGAAACCAGGCTGCTTTGAAATTCAGGGTCCAGTGAAAATGTCAAGAACTGGAATACTTAGGGTAAGAGCAAGAGTGGCAAATGTCATGAAAAAAAGGTTGGAGGTTAAGTCTGAAAAAGACACAGACTCATGCCTTTTGGAGTGACTGTAGAAATGAATTCAAGTGTTTTTACTAGATGGTTCTTTTTTTTAAAAAAATCTTTATCTCCTAACGAGTAAGGGAATAGGGGAACAAGACATCCTCCCACCCCTTTTTTGGGGGAGCATCTGTATGGATTAGTAAATGTTTAGAATAGTATCTTCGCTAAGTTCAGATTTATACTGAGTAAGCCAGATATTTTGATGTTTGCAATGTTTTCTGCAAAACAATAAAATCTTAATTGTTTGACTAAAGCAAGAATTAGAAGACCTTGAAACAGGCCACCAGCAGGTTTCCCCCTGCATGTATTTGCTGTATACTTTTGTCACTCCCTATCAGAGGATCTCATCTTAGTATGAGTTTCAGATTAAGAATTCTGATTCAAAGACTATTGTAAGAATAACAATAAAGAAGTTGAGCTGAGGGGAAGCTGTTTCTATGCACTTAACATTTAAAGTAAATTTTGATCTTCACATTGTGGACCCTCCTTTAGTTTGTGACAGGTCAATTTTTTTACATCCCACTCTATTCAATTAAAATACGAGATTTCCATGCTCAAATTAGGCATCAAACAAGTAAAAAAGGGAAATTTCAATGGTGATACAATGTGAAAAAGAGAGCTTATTTCACAAATATTTTGTAAGTCTATCTGAAGTCTGCATTTTCTGCTAATCCCAGTGCACTACAAGGCAGAATGCTTAGAGCCTTACTGAGAGCTGTATGAGTTAACCTCACCTTTCACAACTCATCACATCAGAAGAATCAGCTTTGATGATCTAGTGTAATCCAAAAAATACATTTATTCATTAATGAGGTGTTTGGGCCTGAGAAGGTAAGGTGAGGAGAGGCAGGAGCAATGCATGGCCTCTGCATCCATCCCAGTGGGCTGCTGTATCCTGATCAGGCAGCAACAAAACGGGTGTTGTGACAACCTCAGGGATCTGTGGGGGCACAAGGGCTCCTCATGGAGAACCCTTGGAGGGGAGGAGGAATGTTGGCTTGGGAGCAGTGAGGCTGAAGCAGAAATTAGTTGGGATTTAGGTATAAAAGTTGCCCCAGTGAGTGGTTTCTGTCGTAGCATCAGCTGACAATGACGTGTCGGTGCCGATGACTCTAAGCAGAGCATTCCTGTTCTCCTGTCACCTGGCAGGCGTGCTTTACCCCCTTCACTGGGAACACTGCACCGTGGACTCACCACATCTGAAAAAATCAAATTCTGAGGCTGCTGCTTCCATGTGACCTTAAAACASTGGCAAACATTGAGAGCAGTGTGTCTTTAGGTGTGTGGAATGCAGAGTGGATGCTGCTCCATGGGGAAGGCTGAACACAACAGCCAGCAGTGAATCACAGTGAATTTTTACCACCTGGTACATTTTCTGTACAAACAACTCTGTGGGTTTCACTCCAAGCCAGGATTTTCAGACTAAAACAAGGCTAAGCATAGYRTCACCTGTGGAAAAACTGTGTTCTTCTGAATCACCAACATTCATTTCAGTTTTACAGAGGAAATCCAAATAATGTGAGGTCAAACAATATATAATGCACTTGTTAAGTGTTTAGAATGTTTTTGTTTTTACTGCATGAAAAGAGAACAAAAAGGGTAGGGTTCAACTGCCTTGTTAGTTTGAAGTTTTAAAATGTCAATTTTTCATGTTCAGTTAATTACTCTGTTATCTCTTGTCTGCATTTGATTTTTTTGACAATTTTATTCTATGTTTTATGAATGTAATCTAAGTCTTGATTTCTAAGCATGTGCTAAAACTTAATGTCACACTATAAACTCTTAGCAGTTTTTATCAATTATGTTTATATTGTGTAATAGAAGRGGTGTTATATTGCAAACTAAACAAAGGATTATGATTTTTGTTTAAAATTTAAATATTAATTGATTCTTTCAGATGTTTTCAACTGAAATGTTTATGGCTCTTTGGAGGCTCATAGCCAAACTTACTCTGCCTTTCTAAATTATGCTGTAGGACATACTCTGCGCATTGATTTTAAAAAATCAACATTTTTTTGAACTCCAAAACCTTCACTAAATCCCAGTAAATTCCTATAAATGCCAAGAGCAGTATGTGTTTTAATAGTTTGTTAGCCTGGCATATTAACAGTTGCATTGTTAYAGAGCTTAATTTTACTTTTCTTTGTGTGTTTTTGCAGTCCAGCCTCCTTCGGTCTGAYATGGGGCTTGGAAGTCCAGGTCAGCTGTCATCCTCTACAAAACCTGGAACTGCCTACTACCCATTTTCTGCCACAAATCAGCGCCGAAGGCCACTCCATGACTCATCAGCTCTTGGTAAGTAGTACAGACAGTTTTTAAACTTTTGTTTATGATGCTTTTCTGCAGACTTTATTATTTTCTTTGACAGTTCATTTAATATAACGGAGATTGCTCTGTACTGAGCAATTGAAATTACACCAGACTATTATATAAGAGAAAAACTGAAATTATTGACATTTCATTTGAGACACTGGCTTGGATTCAATACTGGTCAGTATKGCTTACAAAACAAACAAGAAACTCTAATAAAACCCTTAATTGCAAAAGCAATAATCACAGATGGATAGGAGCTGATGACCAGCTGAATGCCCTTAACCTGTGCCTTTATTAACTCCTGGAAATGCCTGACCTTGAGGTCATTACAATTATTTAGTAGGGGAGGGACACAAAGGGGAAACAATTATCCTTTTACATGCTAAAAGTAACTTTATTCAGGGCAATATATAGTTCATTGTAATTGGTTCAACATGCCTTTAAAGATCTTAGCAATTGGAGGCTAGTAGTTTATCCTAAAATCAAACTACCTTACTAAATATGCAGGCAGGAACTTGCTTAAAAATCGCTATAATCCTGTGACAGTATGAATATTTTATTCTGGGGATGGTTGGAGATGAATAGGATTGGTCATAGACAGRGGTAATATTTTATAGCTGTCTAATTCTGTTGAATCAGAGAACCAAGAACAAGCCAGCTGTTCTGTAGTATCTGCTGTAAGACACTTCTGAGTAATTGGGTGTGCAGAGCAAAAAAAAAGTAAATCTTTTTGATATAAAAAGAAAGACTGTAACCTTATATTCTATTTTACCATATATTTCAGTGTTAGTATGATAGGTTATATGGTTGAGTCCTTAATGCCCCTCATTCTGCATAGCAGTTGTATTCCATAGTAAAAATCTTATTTGTTGGAACCATGTAGCTCAGTGCATACTTTACCCAAAATAAAATTTTCAAATGCAAATTCATTTGTGAAGTAACTTAAGTATTAACTATAATGGCAAATTTCTTGGGCACTAAAATAGTCCTGAACATGCTTGAAATTGTTTTTAAAATATTTGTTTGTAAAAATACGACTTTGGAACTTAATCCTATATATCATGGAATCATTTCATTTGAAAAAATCCTCTAAGACCATCAAGTCCAACAATCAACCCAGCACTGCCCAGTCCACCACTAACCCATGTCCCCATGGGGCCACATCCACACATCTTTTACACCCCTCCAGAGATGGTGACTCCACCACTTCCTGGGCAGCCTGGTCCAGTGCCCAACAGCCCTTTCAGTGAACTTTTCCTGACATTGAATCTAAACCTCCCTCAGTGCAGAATGAGGCAATTTCCTCTTCTCCTAATATCTGTCTATATATATATGTGTGTGTTTTAAAACACCATATTTGTATAACTTCTTACCATATTGTTAGGCCAACTGCTGTTTAACTTGGGGTTGGCTGTTTTTAGGAACATTATTGTATGTATTCCTGTTGCTCAGAATGCCAGAACAAATACAGCAGTTCCTCACACCTGTTTCAGAAAAGGAACAGTCTGAAAAGTTRAGTGAAATTGTTTACAACTTGAAAGAGTGGTTGAGCTTCAATAGAAAAGAATAGGGTTTTAAAACGATGGTGTTTTAACCCACATTAAATCAGGTTAGTGAGAAGTTACTCACAGTAGTAACCTGATCTGGTTTGARTAGCAGGGGGGTGTTAGAGCTTGGCTTTGGGTGCTGAGCCAGTGCTTGAGATGTGTGCAGGAAGCTCACTGTGTGCAGCAGACTTTGAGGTGGTCCTGAACACAATTCTTGTTTCCTGTGMAAGCTTTGTAGAGTTTGGGAAGTTCCCGAGATTATTGCATTAAACAAATGGAAGYGAAGTGTGCTGTTTTCAGAATATATTTAGTTTTTTTTTTTTCTTTGAAAGAGAAGCTCAGAGKGTATAAACATGTTCAAATTGGTGGTATTCCTCTTTCTGTCATGTTTGGATCTCRTGACTCTAACCTGGAATATGGCAGGTGGTGGTTACAAATTTWTGGAAATGTTTTCCCAGGAATGTCACAAGGAGAAGTACACTTTTATCTCAAGTCTCTTTCAATGGCTTGAGAAACTACGTCTGAATTTAATTTTTTTTTTAAATGGACTTGTTAAGTGCTACAAACCTGCTCCCTGAGAATTTCTAMCTAAATCAAATTATGGCTATTTCATCCCCGAGAAGGAGTTGTCTGACCAGGATTATAACAAGCTCTTGTTAAATTTCATATTAAATTGCATTGATACCACCTAGTATTCTCTTCCAGGTGACACTGAATCCAATGTAAATATCTCTTCCAAAAGTCCTTTTTTTGTGAGTGTGCCCTGTGGTGAATGATGAGAGCAAAGATATCCAGGAGACATTTTACCTTATCTCACCTTTATCTTKTCATATCATCATAAATGTTCTGAATGAAAACAGAAAAATAGGAATTTTGTGTTTTAATTAAAGACTCAATTGGTTAATTTAGACCTGGTAATCTTGCCAGATACTCATCTTCAAAACATCAGTTAACTTGTAATGTGCATGCAGAGTTTTCAGATTAATGGTATTAGCATCTGATTAAACTGGTTTCGATTTYTGATGTAAGTAGTGAAATTACTGGGTACTTTTGTTATATTACAATAACTGTTGGAAGAAACAAGCAGTTATCATACTTCCAACTTTACTATTGCATGCAAATTTTATTACTTAAGGGAAGTCATCAGGTTCATTAAATTTGCTGTTTATTTACAACCTCAGTAAGGTCTAAAAGCTATAAAATTTACATCACGTTAGTATTCTTAGATATAAATGATACTGTTACATGTCAAATTCCTTTCTGATGGCTGGGTCTTCACCCTAAAGTGCAGAAAGAAAGCATTTCTCTTGCTACTAAGTCTCAATTTCGTCCTTCTATCTCAAAACCTTACTTTGTTTCTTAGCRAGTGTAAAAGGTATTAAGTGTACCCTTCAGAGTAACTGTTCATAAGAATAACTGTTTTTCTGAGGGAAAGGACTGAAAATAACTGTTTAGCAAAGCTTAATTTTGGAGARGAACAGCAGTGTGTTACATTTTTATATTGATGTGAAAGACAAATCTCATCGCTAGATAATAAAAAATGCATGAAATTGGAAAATAAGAAATTCATCATGGAAAGTAACACCTGTACAGTGTAGCTATTTATTCTTTTTCACCTATAATGTGGATACTTGCTGAAACGCTGTTTTTCTGTGTACAGATCCTCTACAGACAAAGAAAGTAAGAAAGGTGCCCCCTGGTTTGCCTTCTTCTGTAAGTACWACATTTTTACTTATCGTGATAAGAATTGGATTCATATTGCATTCTCTTTACCTGCCATACATATAAATTACTTAACTTTAGYGCAAGGAGGGCTGTCTGCTGGACATGAACAGCTAGGCTAGGTAATTGGGAGTGGTTCTGCAGGACTAAATGCACATTTGATGTGGAATTTTTAGGTTTCACAGCAGTGATTTGTAGCTCGCTCATATRCTCCTACCCACTTGTCCCTGTCATTTGAATTCCTCTTTTGGGAAGAGAGCTGGGGCAGGAGCTGTCAAAGAAGATCTCCTGTACAGGTCTTTTGATGTTTAATTAGTCATTATGTTGCTGAACAGGAGGACAGACAGAGATTAATAGCTGAGAATCTTAGAAATTTACATTTGTAATAATCCCAGTGGAGCTGAAGACATTAAGATTCGGAGGACATGTACAGCTCAGCTTGCCTCAGTAGGACTGAGGTTATTAATATGCATAAATCACCGAGTCAGATGTTCATTGTGAAGCCCTGGTGGATTTTAAAGCCTTCATTAAGCCTTTCCTAACTTCAGTCTAGCATCAGGAAAGCTTTCAAGCAACTAGTTTGTTGATCCCTCCTTGCTTGAAAATTTATCCTTCGAGAATAAAGGGCTTTGATAAAAAAGGTTGGAAGGGTTTTGGTGGAAAAATCATTAATGGCTGTGATAATCTAATGCTATAGGGGTGTTTTGTGGTATTAAATATACTTTATTCTTAAAAGGAAGAAAATTGTTTATAAATGAATCTGCATTTAAAAATCCACGTGAAGTGAAAAATCCCCAGTGAGGTGAGGGACAGAATGATTTTTTTCCACCGCTCAGAACAAACAGGAGGGGAGGGGGAAGCTCCGCTGCCTTGCGGGATACATCTCTTTGTTGTGTAAATGGATGTTGGGCTTTTATTTGACAGTACTTAACACATGGGCGCAGGTGCACTTGGATGAGTCATAATTCAAAGCCAGATAGGCTGAATAGAGCGCACTGCACAGGCAACAGTAACAGAGCGGCAGCAAAATGGGGCTGATCTTTTCATTCGGTATTGAGGCTCAAGTACGGAGGGTGTCTTCCAGTCCTCGCATCTCCCCTGTTCTCTCCTCCCTCTCTTTCCCTTCTCCCTCCCCGTGCTCACGATGATACAGACAGAAACTGGGATCTGCAATCCTATTTTAACAGTACTTCCAGATGGAGCTGAGATAGTGCGGATAGCCTGGGGCAGCTGTGCTCTGAACCTGCAGYCTACCTGGAAGCCAGGACTGCAGCTGCAGGCACTCTTAAAAGCTTTTGCTTGCATAAGCACTTGGGCCCCACTAGAGGCTGAATAGCTGCTTGATAAACAAAATGAACACAATGCCTCAAATCATTATTCTCGAGGCCAGGAATATTCTTCTTTCCCCCCCTCCCTTTTTTTTCCCCCCTTCAGCAGCAGCTAAAAATAGTTTGGCAATTTACATTTTAACAGTTGCGTGTTATGTAGGGTGCCTTTACAGTCTAGCAGATGATTTCTGCTAGATTAACAAAAATATATTTAAAATGTCAGGGAAGCTAAAACACATAGCAGTGCAATTTTCATGTAATTTATTACTGTAATTCTAGGCAGYAATAAAGCTTACGCTACATGTTTAATATTTAGTAGCGTCAGCCAGGTAAAGAGATCATTTTGGAGAATGAAAGATTTCTCTCATTTTTCTTACMGGGGTTTAGTTTTAACAAGCAGTATTTTTCAAATGGTTTTCATTTAATTCTTCTTCTGTAAGAGTGCAGACAATAAAACACTGATAATTTTATTTGTATTAACATTGTACCAATCTGTGCRATTAAGTGCAGTTACTGTGAATAATCAATGATTATTGCGATGCTGCAGGTTTTAAGCACTGTTTCTCTGTATTTCAATGCTTTCACTGCTGAATAGAGCCTTGAAGTAAAATGACACGTTACAAAAAAATCCAAAAAATTATGAGATACGGCGTGTGTGGAAGATGACACAAAACTAAATTTCACTGAGCATCACAAGAAATTTAAACTGAATAGATCATTATGTGAATGTAGTCTTCATTTTAAACATACTTTTGTAAGAAGTCAGAATGTATTGTAGGAAAGATAAAAGTTGCTTTAGCTAGTAGATAGTGCAGACAAGTTTAATTATAATATGAGAAGTCAGAGGAAAGATGATGCTTAATTTTATTATACAAATCTGTATTTTTTAATTTTTCAGTTTCTAAAATACTGGTTTCTGCAATGTTTTTGTTAGTATAGGGCTGCCATGTCAACGGATACTCAGCAGTAATTTAATTTCCTAGATAACTGTAATTTAATAATAGTCTTTTAAGAAATAATGATTCAAAAAACCCAAACAACTCTTCCTCTAGTTTTATTTCTTCTTCTCCTGGTTTTGTAGGATACTTTCTGAAATTATTTGTTTTGRGGTTTATCTTTTTTCATGTATTCTTATCAGCATCCAAAGTAAAAACAGTTTTTACTGTTACCGGAGAAAAGTGCTGGGGAATTGTCTGGCTTCTTTCTGGAATGCATCTCAGTCTGAATTTGTCCTCTTACTGTACAAATTAAATGTTCCAGGCAAATGCATTTTAAGGTTTTTGTGTTGCAAGTTGTTAAGTGGTGACTCACTGCCCAAAACATTTTGAATGTTGACATGCAAGCATTTGTTAAACTGCGACTACTAAATTTAAAATGTTCTGAGGAGGATAGAAATTAAAAAATCTATCTTTTTCAAGCCAGGTTTGAGTGAACAGCAAGATTATGATATGCTGTTTATATTWTTGAGGAGGGAATACTGTTCAGTGAGTTACATTATTTTCAGAGATTCAAAGCTCTTGTGTTTCTGAGAATTTTTCTGATTGTGGGAGTTAACTAAGCCAGACACTAACAACATCCTGTGACCTGAAACCAGWGTAGCTGCTTGGCCAGGAAGAGCAGAGTGTCAGGGTTTCTGGGGAGCTGCTCAGTCTTTAGAGGGAGAAGACCAGACAAGTGAGTCTCACTCAGAAATTTTTATCCTCCAGAAATGGATGGGCTGTGAGCAGGAACGTACGATTTACATGTGGAGTCAGAAAATGTTCCAAACTAACATTCGTTACTAGTACCATAATCAGTGGCTATAATGGGGTCATAATTCTAGGAAAAATAGTGTGAATATCATCATTCTTTGCTATTTAATTAGTGTCATTTCARATAAATAACTGGAATATATTGTATCTGTTGAGTTTTATTACAGAAAATGAGCTGTGACATACAGACACAAATGTCTGCTTGTTTTCCATGTAGTTTCTAATAAGCATTTTGAGTATTTTAGGCTTTGCATGATACCTGAGATGATCAGTTAATATTAAACTTTGGATAGCACATTTAATAAGGGATTCTCAAATTAGTATTTTGATACCAGGGATCTCTTTCTAAATTCAAACTCACATTTTTCAATACATTTAAGACAATTTGTAGTTTGATTATAGGGGTTTTGCATGCATAGAACTTCCTCCCAATTGAGGCATTTTTCTTTCTGTTTTCCTGCTAGTCTTTTAATACCAAGCTTCTRGAGATATTTCAAAACATGTCACATAAAGATACTAATGGTACCAGAAAAAAAAGAATAGATGTAACTCTGTTCTGTATTCTTTCCTTCCTCCACTCCCCCTAAAGGGTAAAGAGATTATTTGAAATGGTAGAATATGAAGTATCATCGGAGTGATTATCTGAAACCCAGTTTTTGTGAGATTAATGTTTAGATTGTATCAGAAATAATATAACRTTCACCACACTGAGTGAACATTCTTTAGAGAATTATTCTCAATATTAGCAATTTCCATGTGTATTGAAGTAGGTTGGTATGAAGTAACACCATTGGAATACTTCTGTGAAGTTTGTGGCTCTGGAGCAAAACTCTGGAGCATCCTGGGTGGATACTTTCTGTGATCTGACTGTGATGCTGTGACTTTCTGGTGAGACATTTTTTGCTAAGATTTTTTTTCCCACTGTCCACAAATGTAAAAAGCAGGACTCTGTTTGCTCGGATCTGTTCTGAATTGCCTTGTGCAGTTAAGTGACATATTCAACTGGCACTTGTGTGTGACAGCTAAAGCTCCCCAAGACAGCAGTAGCTCTCCTGAGCCCTCTCCTCTGCTGCCGTGCTGGGTTTTAGAAAACAATTTTAAATAACAAAACTGAGTAAATAAATCTTTATGGATAATGCAACACAGAACTTGTGATTTTTTCCTCATGACACAGTCTTCCATCTTCTGCTCTATGCTCGTTCTTTGGTCACTTGATTTATGGGATAAAGTTTTGGGGGATTTGCTAAATACTGGTTTTTAAGCACTGTGTTCATCTATGAACCCGAACAAAATGCAAATGTATAAAACATCCAACCCCTAAATTATGTTACAAACCAAGTAAAAATGTMTAATAACAAAAAGGTCTGGTTTTCTGGTTAGATTATTGCAGRGGCTATTTATCAACATGGCCTTTATTTGAATTCTGTCTGAAAACCACAGTAAACTCAGATTATAGCATCCCACCTGCTCTTTGCTACATGAGAACATTTAGCTGTGGTTAAACAACCAGGCAGCCCGTTGCAAAGTCCTGCTGTGAGAGTTCAGCTTGAGTTTTCACTGAATTAGGGAGAAGGAACTTGCGCAATCCTCTCTTAAAAGCTTCTTTTAAAATTTGCCATCAGATCATTTTTCCAAACTAACTATCCTGACATCTGACTGTGGTGAACTAATGTGAGGATGCTTGTTTGAGAGATCTTCTCTGAAAATCCTGCATATACATGCAACTATGATGGGAATATAATGATGTCAAATAATTTCTCTGTGTTTGGATTTACTTAAGAGATGTTACTTTTGAAATTTTCACAACATATCAAAATKAGTGTATTAGATGCTCTTAGAGTGTAGATTTGCATAAAAGAACCTTAAATTTTGTGCATAGTTAGGGGGGGAAAAAAAAAAACCAAAACCAAAA